ATATGATACAATTTGGAAGTTGGAACAGTAAAACTTGTTAGTATCTCGAGGCACATGGGAGTCCACCCAAAAGCTATCAGTACGCAAGCCATCTTGCTGACTCCCTCAATCCACTTTAAAACCTTCTGTAACCTCCCTTCAGCTGGCTGTGTGCTATGCTAAACTGATGCCTTTTTAAACCAGTGTAATTTTTTTCTCTCCTTTTTAATGCATTAGACTTATTCCAAATAGTTCCTGCCATCCAATTTGACATATAGGTCTTTATATGTCTGCATGGACACAAGATGATGGACATTGAAGAGGAGGGGTAAAAGGGATCCAAGACAGAGATAAGGAAGAACCACTTCTTCAAGAAGAAATACCAGTTTGTACAAGGTAAAGCAGCTTGTGGAACTGCAGCTTTGACAGGGACTTATCCTCAAGCAGTTTAGTGCCAATGTCTAACTTTTTGTCTTTAATCTCTGCTTTTGTACTGTAATGTACATATGTATGTGCATATTGTAAATATTGTAATTATAGGGAAATTATGAAAATTTATGTTATGTATTTTTCATTTAATAAATTATTAAATAAAAATAGCTATTGAATAAAAAAATATTTTTTGTTAAATTATGTTCTTTATGTAAATAAAAATCTTAGCTGATTTACTGAAGTACAAAGTTTTTGATACAAAACATTGAATAATAGACACACAGAATAATATACTGTACTTCTCTTTGACATGAAATCTGTGAAGAAATCATCCCAGGTCTCATAGGAAGGAAGAGTAGCCAGGCCATTTGAAAAATGGTAAAAAGATGTTGCTACATCCTTTGGGTTACGAATCAATAACAATATCTAGAAAAAAAATTATTTGTACAGAAAGATGTAACAGATTAGAGTATGAAAACAATACAATAATATACTTTATAACTAGAATTGGGGAATTTCTAGTATCTTGAATGCTACTTGCAGATATAGCATAGCAATTTCATTTCAAATTTAGAAGGGGAAATATCTAACCTAGCTTTGGTTCCATGTGAAGATGATTGCCTATAATTATTAAAGTATCTTTTACAGAGTAGCCAAATTAATTATGCAGAATCTAACTAAGTTTTGCTCAATACAAGCAAAATTTGTCATTTAGGTAACAGGGAAAAATGACAACAATACAACTTTTCTCTGAAGCTTGACATGCTGAAGCACCACTTGTGACAACACCACAAAATGTCCCCCATGGGAAATTGTGTCAAAGCGCATTTTGCCTCTGGAGGATTTGTTCAAGCCCTGCAACTCCCTTATGGAGACTGTCACAAAGATGCCAAGAAGGATGAATGGAGGTTAAGTGAGATGAACGGCAGAACTTAAACAGGCATGTAGAAATGGTCAGACTAAACACGCAAGAGTGACTCTGAAAATTGGTTGAAAAGACATTAAAATCAGCACTCACCTTGACTTTATTTTTGAAGATAGACTTGGGAAGGTTTTCAGGATGGAGGTGAGAAGCTATAAATCTTGGAGAAGGTAATTTGGTCATTCTCTTTATGAATTGGAGGAGGAGAGTGGACAGTTCAGTTAGTACAAGTATTCTTTTCATCAGGTGATTCTAAAATGTTGCCTTGCTAAACTTATCAACACATACTGGCTGACAAAGGTACTTTTCTGTGTACGTTAATTTTCTTCAGTGATAATGAATTTAACATCGTCTGTTAGACAAGGGATCAAATCTAAGACTCTCATTGGGTATTTGTGAAAGCTGAAGGATCTCAAGCACTGAAAGAAGGGGTGAGGAGAAAGAGTTAGTAAAAGAGACAAAAGCTAATAGTTCATTCTTGGATATTTCCTGAAGCTCTTCTTAAATACAAAAGAGGCTATGCTGAATTTCTGCAGTTCTTGTGTATCTAAAGGGTGAATGCTCCTGTCACACTCATTGAAGTGCTCATTTGTCCCTCACCATTTGACAATCCAGACAAGATTCATCACATAATTTTAATAATTTTCATACATATTCTGTTCCCACCTCATATTTCTCGGCATCTCCAAATTCAAGGTAGGGGAATTCCTCTAGTTCTTCATCATTCACACTGCTTTCTCTATCCTGTGTTTTCTTTTGAGATACGGTTACCAGGTCAGTTAAAATTTGACTTAGCCAGTTTGTGCCTGAAGGATGAAAAATACAGAATTTCTTGTAAAACGTCTGGAATAAAGTGGATTTTCCAGGAAAGCCAGGAGGAAGGTAGTACTATGAGGTGAGTTACCTGATCTCCTTTCATATGATACAATCACAGCTGACTATCTGGACAATCACCTGTCAGGGTCCTACCTATGGTCCTCATAAGGATACATTCCTTCAGCTAGATAGGGTCAGCACATCCTAAATTTACTTGGACATTGAAAATGTATTTGTGTATTGTGAACTAAGTAGCCGAGGAGAAGAACCACTCAGATTCAACTAAGAAAACCTTCATTAGAGTAATCAACATGATTATGACAAATATAAGGGCAAATGGGGTGGTAAATCTGAACCATATATATTATACTTTTTGGATAGGATGCACAGGATTGACTGAGGAGGAAAGACAGGTCACAGTGTTACAACACAGGAGCAGAGATAGATCTGAAAACTGTGCTGTATGTACTCATTTTCTTTACCAATAAGAAAAAATTCTCCAAAGTGATATTTCCTGTACACTTTTATTATATTTTTGCTCAAAACGTACCAAAGAGTCTGCAGCGAACTCTCATCTTTAGTCTACCATTTCCTGACTTCTGGATACTGGGTTCCCACACCTTTCACACTACAGTTTTAACAATTGTTAGAACCAGTGGCAGTCTGGTGCAAGCATTTCTTCAAAAAGAAAGTACCATAAAAAACCAAAAACTTTGCAATCTTGTCAAATCTAAGACAGTGCAAACCCAATTGCTGCAGGAGAGAAACTACTAGATTAAAATGAACATGAGACACATCTAACCCAAACCTGTGGCTCTGATTAGGGGCACCACAGGGTGCTCTCAGGCAGAAGGAGCAAAGGAGCAAAGGTTGTAAACTCAGACTCCTAGTAAACACCTTCTCCTAATAAGTACTGAACAACGTGATCGCTTCAAGTGCTACAAAATATTTTTGATAGTTATTTCTTGACATCAATACGAATCAAACTAAAAAAATGCAGCATGGCATGGGAAGGTAGAGAGAAGCTCAGTTCTGGGTAGAAATGTAAAGCTGTTAACTTTACAAAGATAAATGGGACAGCAGATCCTGTAATACCAAGAGATCTCATCACATCTGGTGTAAAACACTGAATTTTAGTTCTCTCCAATTCATGCATTTAACTTCATAACTATGAAAAGTAAAGATAACAAAAACCTTTGCATCTTATAGAAAAGGAATCAGATGCTTTTTCTCACTCTTTTGGAAAATTCCCTACATAAAATCCTCATAATTCACTTTGTTGTGCTCTTACAGAACAAAATCTGTTTCACAAAATTTTGTGAACATTCTAAATACTATTATTTAATATATCATATAATATATCATATACATTGCATATATTTA